TTTTTCTTAGCTTTCTATTATAATTACCCACCTGATGTTGTTGCTCTTCATTGAAATTGAATAATAATTAAAGTAAAAATAAATGTTAGATTCTGCATGTTAATTGATTTTATTTCATAGTTGAACATGTATCAAGTAACATGATTACCTTTGCATTGTACAAAATCTTCTTTCATTTCATATTTACAGGAACATATTGCCAGCAAAGAGAAGTAGAAGCCATAACTGAAGGTATAGAAGAAGATGATGGTGAGTAACCAAGGTGTTCTACAAATCTGATTTCTGCATGCTGCAATGTGATTGATTGTCATTCTATACAGAATCCAGTGATAGGATTAGACAGCCAGTGAGAGTCTCACACTGATTTGGTAGCACAAAGCTACAGTGAGAGAGATAATAAATCTCATTATTGCTGTCTGATATTGCATCAACTAGAGTTCATCATGATACATGAGAGTAAATCTTAACATGATATTATGAGGTTATTTCTTGGTACACTATGTAACCAGTACAACTTAGTATCAACTTTGTTGTCTGACTTTTTGTAAATATTGCATAGTCTTTCATAATTTGGAATTTGTATTACCTAATTGAGTAGAAATACCGCAAAATTAACTCATGATGTAACTTACAGTGACAGATACAGTGACAAATACGTATACTAATATTCAATTTAAATATACTTATTTTCTTAGGTTGTTGTTGTTGTGAACCAGGTCATTTGCCTCACATGTTGTCATTCAATGCTGCATTTAATCAACGTTGGTTGGCATGGCAAGTGACGTCATCTAAGTATGTATTAGAAGGTTACAGTATCAGTGATAACAGTGCTGCTTCAATGTTACAAGTATTTGATCTCAGGAAAATATTGGTTACTTATTATGTCAAGGTAAGAGGAGTCGATTAATTCATGGCCATTTTGTTGGACAGAACAATTTAAAAATGACTTACTCATGGCCATCTTGTTGGACAGATCTAGTTAAAAATGGCTGACATGTGGACAGTTTGTTTCAAAAAACGTCATTCCAGGGCCAAATCCCTAACATAGCTGGGCCGAACACATTCAAACAACTGAAATACTAAATACATATTTTCACAATCCAATTTAAAATAGCTAACTGGTGGTCGTTCTACTGTTAAAAATGCAAACACTGGTTAAATAATCCTGGCCACTGCCCAGCTTAGTACAGCTCAATCTGGAAATACTAAAAATGAAACAGTTATGCAATTAATTATGGACCATGTGAAGAAACTAGGTGATTGTATTGACGTTCTTTGATGTCATAATATCCGCATGTCATAAAACACCACAGTTACACCTGTTCCAAACATTGAATATGCTTTTCTGTGGCATTTGCAGACTTATCTACCGACCAGAGACATATCGCTCACTTCATAACAGTTACACCAATAAAAACTAAACTAGTGAATTTTTTGCAGAGTATTATTTACTATGTGGTTCGTTCACCAAAACTGAATGATTGGCTGTCAACAGACGGCAATATACAAGAATCTTTAAAAGCGTGTGTGGATAAAAACTATGCGGATTGTGATCCAACATTTACACCAAATATAGATGAAGACTTTGATCATCGTAGTTCAGGAATATCACGTAATGCATTCTGTAATACATATGGAGAGTGGATTCAGTATTGTGCAAATAGAAGACAACAGGTATTGTAGTGTTGTCGTATAGTTTATTATGGTACGGTATAATGTTTGTCATAATCTGTGGTTACAGTGTTGTGGTATATCTTATTGTAGTGGTGAAATATAATACACTGTAGTGTATTTAGTATATAGTGTTACAGTAGTATATTAACAAAGTATACGTCTTTGTTTATTGCAGGACATTGAAGCCGAGAGAGACTCTGCATTAGTGACCCTGTGTTTTGCATTGTGCATTCTTGGTAGAAGAGCTTTAGGAACTGCCTCACATCATTTATCAGCCAGGTATGCTGTACCCTATTCGTAGTTATAATATTATACAGCATAGTCA